ATCCAGCAGTATTAAAAAACAATGGTAGATAAACCTTCATGTTGGGTCAATGGCCATCTTGCACAATGAGTTAGTCTGGACTACATAGCTATAAATATATACAACTAGTGAGATGATGACATGTCATTGCTGGGCAGAGGACTTTTTAGTCTGAAATCAATGGCCAGGGATGAGGGTCCCTTGATGGAATCAACAGCCACATATCCATGGCCAATGTGAGCCTTCAAGGCTTTGGTTGTAGTTTGACCTGGAGAGGGATGGCATCTGCCAGGTCTATGTGCCCAAGGCACTGTGCAGAATAAATGGATACCTCTTCAGCTCTCAAACCAGGTATGTGATGTAAACAGGTAAGATGCTCAACTGCAATGAAACCCTACAACCACGCCCAGTCCAGGGACTGATGATGATGATAATGATGATGATGAATCTCAATTCTACAGACAAGGTGAGATCTTTAACAAGAACTGTAATTTTCAGGATACATTGGCAGAGTATATATATTGGCCCTGTAAATTACCCTGTAGTATATAGGGTCACAGCCACACCACAACCCACATTGGTGCTGTGGTTTCTGTAGCAAGTAGACTTTTATGGGATGGAGTTGCTAACCCCATACTCAATCAGTTTTGAATTTTCCTTCTTCTAGAATGGTTGCCACCAAAAACCAGTGAGCCTAGTCTATTCTCTTATTAACCTCTAGCTGGATGGAGAAAAATGGATTCATATTTGTCCAAGGGTATTTGTGTGAAAGTAAATGCATCAGCCGTGACTGGAATTTGAACTTGTGTTGTAGAGTAGTTTTCACAGTGGAGGCTTGTATTTCACTAAGTCTGTCCTAAAAGAGTCCGATGTACAAAACGTTAGGAACTTACAATAAGATTTAATGACACAGTAATCTAGTTGTGATGGTTGATACTTCAATGTCCGACATCGACTGACTCACTCAACACCACTGAGCCTTACTCATTATTAAATGCTTTTCAAACTACCATTATTATATTTAATTTCTGTGGTTTTCCTTGAATACTATCATCTGTCCAAAGAAGACCTATTCTGAACTTTTTCCATTGCAGAAAGATGAAGATTTAGAATAGGGAAGAGAAATAGGAAATCAAATGTGAACGTCTCAGGGTATTACAAAATAACAATTATGAATACATTTTTTTTTCTGTAGCGAAAGGGCCATAAATTGACTTGGATAAACTCAAGAAAAAAATGCTGTCAAAACAATTATCCCTTTAGAATTCAACATGCTCAAACCTGTCCCCATAAATATTGCCTCTCAAAGTCTGTGGTCAAAGTCTCACTGTTTGTGCAACTTCCTGAGTGTACATGGGGTAGGTTGCATTCAGTTGAACATCGAGAGCTGATATTTATGGGGTGGGTTTGAGTGGGTTGAATGCTGAAGGGTTAAAGAAGGAATTGACGTAGACAAGAAGTCCTTGGTGGCCCAGGTGTAGGCAGGAGGAGCAGTCTGTTTTTGAGAGTGTCTTTTAAGGGAATTAATAATGGATGGTTTCCTCAAAGATGAAGAAGAGACTCAAGGTAACAGACATGTGGTTCTACAGAAGGATGCTAAGGATATCATGGACCAAGCGTGTGAGCAATGATGAGATCTTAGAGAGGTTGCAAAGAAGGAGGAAGCTTATACTTAATACCAGGAAGAGGCAGCTGAATTTTTGGGAACACATAATGAGGAAAGAGGGCCTGGAGAATCTGATACTCACGGGTTGAATAGAGGGAAAGAGAGATAAGAGAAAATAACAGGTGAGGTACCTGGCAGACTTAAACAAGAAGTATAAAGAAGCCACATATAAATATTATATATTAGCCATGCCAGTATATTTTCCTCTTTTTCTATCTCGTCATTTTTACCTAGCTAACCATGCACCTGTATGCAATCAAAACAAAATAAATGCTACTAGTAAGTATATTTATATTTTCACATTTTCTCCAGTTTTGGAATGTTGTTTAGAGAGGCACAAAATTCTATGATTGTTCCTGCAGAAAGTGACCATAGAATGGTATATTGATTCTCGGATATAAAACATTTTCCAATAGGATTGGTGTGAACTGAATTTCAGGTAAAAATAAGTAACAAAACATAGAAAACACGAATAGGATATTGCTAGATATGATTAAGAAAAAAGGTACCAGGGATTCATTAAAGCAGATCTAGGGCCTTCTTATGCCTTGGAAGAACCCCTATCTAATTGATCATGTTCATGAAACATGAAAAAGCACCAGATGAAAATGGCATAGTAACAGACATTTTGAAAGACATAAAAGATTTCCATAAAAGCTCAGAACAACTGTTTCCCAGTGTATATGGAAAAGAAAAGTACCTGTAAACTTCATTATAGAAATAATAATTCTACTTTATAATAGAAAAGAAAAACCGTGGCATTTGTTGTCATATAAGTTACTACTAAACATCTAAAAATTATTTTCGAAGTACATACTAACTAGAAAATACTTTAGATCAGATTCAGCCAAGCAATCAGGCAATTTTCTGATTGAAAAAAAACAAAAGTGTATAACAAGTCACTTTGTTTAGCATTGGTGCATATATATATATATATATATATATATAATTGAGGATTTCTTTTTCTGGACATAAAATGGGTAAAAATTGTTTAAATGTTCTATAGACTGGAGCACTTTCGATTATTTTATCGGCGATCATCAAGAATGTTTTTGGTTTTTATTTTTAACTAAATGTGTAGATTTTTATATATGTTTCTAGAGTGATGAGAATGTTTTTTTTTATTTTCCAAACACGGTCAGCACATTGTGGCCATGTTCATAGCTGATGTTATTGAATACTGACATTTTATTTTTATCATTCATGCTGCCATTATTTTTGGGGTTTTTTTTATATGTAGACGAGGCTATTATATTTGTATTTTCTACAAGTATGTTGTGGATGGAGTTTAGTAAGTCTCTATGTGTGTTTAAATGAGTCCTAATTGGGCTATGGGCAGAGGGGTATACCATGAATCATGAGTTTGATTCTCACTCAGTGTTCCATACAAAATTCAACATTAAATAAATAACTCAACAAGGGTTGATATGTTATGAAACTTAGCCTTAAATAATAGCAATAAAAGGCAGGTCGAATATCACCGCCATCACTACTACTGCTACTAATACTACTACTACTACTGCTGCTGTTACTACAGCTGCTTCTACTACTACTACTACTACTACAGTGCAGTCACTATCCTTTTTCCTGTTGGGTTCATTGCAATTACTTACATGCAAATACAATTGGGAAATGTATAAATCCATCACTTCTCCGCCCCCCCAAGTTATGAGTCACTTAGTAAAACTTGTATCACTAAATTATTCTTACAATCCAAAATATATTTTGGCATTAAATAACCTACAAAGGGTTGGTAAGCCATAAAAAAAAACAAATCAAGCAATCAATCCATTCTTTTTTTCTCTTTCTTGAAATAATGGGTGTCATAGCATGGCGTAATGGCTATTGTTGCTGGTCTGGTTGGCTGTTATTATTGCACAGTGGAATTGACCCTCATTTGGTGCCCCCATAGAAAATTGGACATTAAATAATGCAAAAAGGGTTGATATGTCTTAAAATCAAATAACTTGATCTGAAGACTGAAGAATTTAACAATGTAAAACATTTCCTAATCTTAACTCTTCATCGCCATCTTTTTAGGTCGCCCCTATTGTTAAAAAAGTACTATTCACTAATGTTGTGTCAAAACCTGAGCAAACTTGGACCATCAGGCCCATAAAAAAACAGTGTCAAAAGAACTGTTTCTTCCATGATACCAGTATTATTCTTCAATCTGCTCAAGATTAAAAAAAAATCAATCCCATCTAGATTTTTTGTCTTTGTTATTAACCCAATGAAGGAAATCGTTTATCAAATGTTTATCAAATGTAATGTTGAATATTTTAACTCTTTCTGGTTATTTTAAAAAGAAAATGTTTGACAGTTTTTCTAAAACTTAAATTAACTATATTTCAACAATCCTTAACCTTCATGTCTGAAAAAAAATCTGTATCAAAAAGATGTTTTTCCCTTGACAACACTATTATTTTAACTACCTCCACCCCTCAGCAATGTTTATTGTTTTAAAAAGTGATGATTAGAATTGTAATAAAAACTAAACATGTTGAAAGTGAATTTATATATTTTCTTTGTTATTGAGAATTGACAATAAAAATAATAAACACTATTTATTAGATTGTTTTTTTTCATTATTTATTTATTACATTTTTTATAGGAACAGTTGGCAAAACATCAACTAGTTATCAATTGGTTCAAACTTTACAAGATGGTAATAATAAGGATTTCTCTATAATTGGTTCACATATTTTAATAATTCAGTAAATGTTTATAAATTTATGAATAAAAATTGTTTTCATATTTGTTTCTTTATAAATTGGTAAATGATAAATATTGCATGGCATTAGTTTTAATTGTATTAGTATTTAGAATGTTGTAAATTTTAAATTATTCTTGTAAATAAACAATCTTATAAATAGTGTTTAATATTTCTGTTGTAAATTGTCAAAAACAAAAAATGTATGTAAATTCACTTTCATATGTTTAGGTTTTGTTACATTTCTATTCATTGCTTTTTAAAACATCAAACATTGCCGAGGAGTGAAGGTAGTTAAAATAATAGTGGTGTCAAAGGAAATTCTTATTATAAAATTTGAATCAATTGGCAATTAGCTGATATTTTGCCAACTATTCCAATAAACAATTTAAAAGTGTAAATAAACAATTTAATAAAAAATAGTGTTTATTATTTTTGTTGTCAATTCTCAATAACAAAGAAAATGTTTAAATTCATTTTCATATGTTTAATTTTTATTACAATTCTACTCATTGCTTTTTAAAACAATAAACATTGCTGAGGAGTGAAGGTAGTTAAAATAATAGTGGTGTCAAGGGAAAAACTGTTCTTTTGACATGAATGTCCATGTTTGCCAAAATCTATACTACATTTGATTTGTGAATGCTTTTTTCTTTAAAGGAGTGGTTTGTTTTTCCATCAAAGTCATTGGTGCATTTTTCACACTACAATATTCAATGGTCAGTTTATTTGTATTTTTACAGCATTGAAACAGTTGGAATACTTATATATTTATTCTTTCTTTCACTATCTTTCTTCTTTCTCTGTTTCTCCTTTACTATGATGTTCTTTCTTTCTTTCTCCCAATTTCTACTTATTTATTCTTCTCTTTTTTTTCCTTTCCTTGTCTCTTTTTTTTTCTGTTTCTCATAAAAGTTACTCTTTTCTCCTTCTTCAACTCGGATCCACTTTTCCTTACTTCCCACTTTCAACTTGTTAGTTTCTTTATCTCTCTTTCTGTTTCTCTTTCTTTTTTATTCCCTTTTCTTTCTTTCTTTCTTTCTTTCTTTCTTTCTTTCTTTTTCTTTCTTTTCTTTTACCTTTTCTTTTTATTCTGTCTTCTTGCATTATTTTATGTATTTGTTTTATATCTACTTTTTTCATTGATTTAAACTTTCTCCCTCCCCCTCCTGCTCCATTTTCCATTATTTGTTTTTCCTTGGTTATCTTTCTGAAATCCTATTTTGTATATGAGCAATAGAATTTGAATAAATCACTCATTTTGGCCAAGGCTTGATGTTTGTGTTTTGTGGGGGTAGGGTTTTGTAGTTGGGGGGTGTGTGGAGAGGCATGAGTTGGCAAAGAAATGGGATAGGACAGATGAGGAAGTCGGATTGGCGCTTTTGATTTGTAGAAAAACCACCTTCCATTTTCTGTGATGAATCAGATGATATTTCACTGAAGAATTGTTTGAAATTAACGATTAGACAGAAAGAGAAGAGAAAGAGAAATGAGAGAGAAAAGAAAGAGAGAAAAAAGAGAAAACAGAGAGAAAAGAAAGGAAAAGAAAAGAAAAAAGAAAAAAAAAAAGAAAGAAAAAAAAGAGAGAAAAGAAAAAAAAGAGAGAAAAAAAAAAAAAAGAGAAAAGAAAAAAGAGAAGAAAAAGAAAAGAAAAGAGAAAAAAGAGAAAAGAAAAGAAAAAAAGAAAAAAGAAAAGAGAAAAAAGAAAAAAAAAAAAAAAAAAAAAAAAAGAGAGAAAAAAGAGAAAAGAAAGAGAAAAGAGAGAGAAAGGAAAGAGAAAAGAGAGAGAAAAGAAAGAGAGAAGAAAGAGAAATGAAAGAGAAAAGAGAGAGAAAAGAAAGAGAGAAGAAAGAGAAATGAAAGAGAAAAGAGAGAGAAAAGGAAGAGAGAAGAAAGAGAAAAGAAAAAGAGAAGAAAGAGAAAAATAGAGAGAAAAAGAGAAAAGAAAGAGAAAAGAGAGAGAAAGGAAATAGAAAAGAGAGAGAAAAGAAAGAGAGAAGAAAGAGAAAGGAAAGAGAAAAGAGAGAGAAAAGGAAGAGAAAAGAAAAAGAGAAGAAAGAGAAAAATAGAGAGAAGAAAGAGAAAAATAGAGAGAAAAAGAGAAACGAAAGAGAAAAGAGAGTGTGAATCAAGAGAAAAAGAGAAAAGAAAGAGAAAAAGTGATAGAAAAGAAAGATATAATAGAGAGAAAAGAAAGAGAATAAAAGAGCAAAGGGAGAAAAAGAAAAGGTGTGAAAGAGAGAGAGAGAGAGGAAAGGAGGAATACAATGTATAACAGAGAAAACTTGAGAGTGAAAAAAAGAAAAGTGAAAGAAGAGGGAATAGAATTAAATGGGAAGAAAGAGAGAAAGAGAGAAGTTGGGAAATATATAAAGGAGATAAATTGAGAGAGAATCAAGAGAAAGGTGGGGAATAATAATAAACTGGTTGAAAGAGAGAGAGAGAGAGAGAGAGAGAGAAGTTGAGAAATACAATATATGATAAAGAAAAAAGACAAAATCAAGAGAAAAGTGAAAGAAGAGGGAATAAAAATACAGGGGGTTGAAAGAGAGAGAGAGAGAGAGAGAGAGAGAGAGAGAGAAGGCCAAAAGGAAACAAAAAAAATGAAAAAGAAAACAAAAGAAAGAAGAGAACATAAAAAGGTTTGTTCAATGTTTGTGATTAGATATAGAAAGAATAAAGTTAGATGGAGAAAGAATTGGGAGAGAATGAAAGAGATAGAAAATGTGAAAAACTGAATGAAAAAAAGGGAAAGGGAGGGTAAACAGAATCAAAAGAAAAAGAGAGGAATCAAAAGGAGAGGAAGAAACACAATAGAAAGAAATGCTAATACATATATATATATATATATATATATGTGTGTGTAGTATTTGTTCTTGTTTGTTTGTGTAAATATAAAATAGCAAAAAATATGTGCCTGATGATTGTCAGTTGGCATGTGCCTCAAGCTTACAAGTTTACCAAAATAGGTTTGCAAAATGAAATTTAAAATATAATATTATATATATATATATATATATATATATATATATATATATATATATATGTTTGTAGAGATAGATATGAACAGACTGAGCTAGATAGATAGATAGATAGATAATGAACAGATATGAAAAGACTGAGATAGATAGATAGGTAGATAAGCAGATACTATATATATTTGTAGATTAGAGAGATAGATAGATAGATAGATATGAACAGACTGTGATATATAGATAGATAGATAGATAGATAGATATGAACAGACTGTGATATATAGATAGATAGATAGATAGATAGATAGATAGATAGATAGATAGATAAGCAGACTATATATACATATTTTAGATAGATATGAACAGACTAAGATTGATATGAATAGATTGAGTTAGATATGAACAGACTGAGACAAACAGACAGACAGACAGACAGATAGATAGATAGATAGATAGATAGATAGATACTATATATGTTTGTAGATAGATAGATAGATAGATAGATAGGTAGGTAGCTAGGTAGACACAGATAGCTAGGTAGATGAACATACAGACAGACATTGAAATAGATATGAATCAACTGAGATAGATAGATAGATAGATAGATAGATAGAGAGAGAGAGAGAGAGAGAGAGAGAGATGGGAAGGGTAGATCAAAATAGAGAGAACAGGAGTATAATAAAAGAAAAGTAAACAAGCTAAAGTACGAAAAAAAGGGATAGAAAAAATAGGGAAAGAAAAAAGAGAAAAAGGAAAATCAAGAGAAGTAGAAATGAAATAGGAAAAGAATAAAAAAATGAAAAGAGAAGAGAATGAAAAGAGACATTAATTTGTGGAAGAGAAAAGAGCAAATAAGGGGAAAAGAGAGAAAAAAACAGAACATTTAATAATTCTAAAAGAAAAGAAAGGTAAAGGAGACTAATGACAGAAAGAAACAAGAAAGAAACTAAGAAGAAAAATACAACAAAAATACTTCTAAAAAAAAAGAAAGCAAGAAGATACACACAAGGAAAAAGAAAGCCAAACGATAAATAGAAAACAATGAAACTAGAAATTATAGAAAAACAGAAAAAAAAAAGAAAGTAGTAAATGAAAACAAAGGAGAAAAAGAAAGTGAAAGTAGAAAGCAACATAGAAAAAGAATAAAGTAAAACTAAAAATCAAAATGAAAGGAAGACAAAAGTGAATGCATAAAGAAATATTTCAGCAGAAAAAAAATAAAAAAGAAGGCCGAATTAAAAACGTAATGTAGAAAAAAGGAAAGTAAATGTGAAAATAGAAAAAAAAATAGAAAATGAAGAAAGTAAAAGTGAAAGTATAACGATATATAGAAAGAAGAGAAAGTGAAAGAAAAAACAAAAATGCCAGATGATAAGAGCAAAAAGGATAGGAAAAAAATCAAATCTGCATAGAAAAGAAGAAGCAGATCAATAAAAGAAAAGAGGAAAGAAAGAAGAATTGAATCCACAAAGAAAACTTATAACATTTTATGGAACATTTCACAACAATGGATTTTCTTTCACAATAATGGATAAAACAAATAACTCGAAAACACTAAAAATAGTGCCCCCCCCCAAAACAGAGAATAAAACAACAAAAAACACAACAAAGTTATTCAAATTAGTTGTATAAATTTCCCCAAATGAGATAGAATTTAGAAAGCTCGTTTTTGAAGCTACCAGTATCATGAATATAAAGAAGCCAATAATATCCATCATTAGTTCAGGGATCCATTACATTATTTGCACAATATTCATAGTGGAGGCATACATTTATAAATGTACTTTCACTTTCACTTTCAAAGTCAAAGCACTGGAAACACATTTAACTCTTTGAAGGGTTGTTGTTTGATGGGTGACAGTTTAACAAGTAGTGTACTTCATGCAATAATTCCTTGAAAATGGAAAAAAATGTTTTACTTGAAGGTTTGGATAAATTGATACCCTTTAGCAAAGAAAAGAAATCCACAAGCAAAATGTATAGTAAAATGGGAGAGAGTTTATCGATAACTCTGAACATGATGTATAACACCTTATTTGAAAATTAGAAAACTATAACAAAAATTAATCAGACTGGTTGAATTTAACAAAATTTTTTATATATATATATATATATATATATATATATATATATATATATATATATATATTATAAATTAATGATATAAAATATGTATTTTTCGCTCCACAGTTCTAACCATGTTTCAAAAATGGAAGCTAAAAAATTCAAATTTAATTTTTAATTAAATTAAAGACATTAGTTGCATTTCATACTCAAGCAAATTTTGGAGTAACTTTTTTTTTAAAATTATTGGGTTTTTTTTAAAGCTGGGGCAAAAAATCATAATTCACGTTTCCAAGGATACAGAGAAATCCATTCATCCAGACAAGTGAATTTTCCTTAAGTGCCTTGAAAAACCCAGTAATTCAAAAAAATAAGTTACTCCAAAATTTATATGGAGGATGAAATGGAACCAAATGTCTTTAATTTAATTACAAAATTAAATTCAAAGCTTTTTAGCTTCTATTTTTGAAACATGGGTAGACCTGTAAAGCGACAAAAACATATTTTAAATCAGTTAATTTATAATATTAATGCTCTGTAAATTTACATTGAGCACTATTTTGCAAAAAATAAAAGTATCTATACCAGATTATATATCTTTGTTCTTTCTTTTTTATATATATATATATATATATATATATATATAATATAAAAGATCAAACATTAATATTCACATATATTATAATTTATTACAAAAGGAATCGTAATCATGATCCAGTTCAACAGACCTACAAATCCAATAAATTTTTGAATTTGTAGATTTGATTGTGATTACGATTCCAATGTAATAAATTATAACCATGGAATATTAGTGTTTGAGCCTTTTATATTATATTATTGCTCTGTCTTGTACATTGAGCTCTACCTGGATTTTATCCTCTTGGAAATATATATATATAATTATATATATATATATATATATGTATGTATGTATGTGTGTGTGTGTGTGTGTGTGTGTGTGTGTGTGTGAAAAGTGTGTGTATATAAATATAAATATATATATATATGTGTGTGTGTGTGTGTGTTATATATTATATATATTATTATTTATATTATTATATATGCAGTACTTATTAGAAAGCACTCAATATAAGAGATATATTTTAAAATATTTGATTGATGTGATGTTTGTGACCATGGGTTTCATATTTATCGAATGTGATTGTCTGACGATAACAAAATTGAAAAAACCTAGGGTCACAAATATCACATTTTTATCACAAATATATATATATATATATATATATATATATATATATATATATATTCAAAAGTTGTGGACAAATTATTTATCCCCATTGAATTTTTGTATATTTTCTAAGGAAATATGAATATTTGCAAGTACTTATTGAATTTACCATAAATAGTTGATTCTGTATTTGGTTTTGAATAATTTGTGAAATTTTTAGAAGTTTTTATCTATTCTACTCATATTTATAGATTTTTCTAAAAATTGGTGCAGTCCAAAATTATCCATCCTTGGTATGACAATAAACTACATCCGCATCCTGGGTAAGACGATAAACTATGTCTAACAGCAAGGCCTCTAATTAGGAAGCTTTGAGGAGTGTGGAACCACCTCTTAATTGCTGGTGTTCCCAGGTCCATCCTAACCCAGTGTGGTAGCACCTGTTAGGGTCCCAGCTATGGGCAAATAGTTGATCTGGGGTCAAAACACCATGAAAGTGTAAAAATAGTTTTTAATTCCAGAAATACTTTGTAAAAAATTATTACCAGCAATACTTTTTTGAAAAAAGCAATGTTACCAGCAATACATTTTTGGGAATAAAAAATATTACCAGCAATACATTTCTGAAAAAAAAAACAATTACCAGCAATAAAATTTTGTCAGCATTAAATAACCAATTGAGGTTGATATGCCGTAAACCAAACCAAAACCAAAATTATTTGCCCCTACCAAGGAAATTATGAAATAATATTGTTCTATGTAAATTGTAATGGCTTTTTTCTTAATTTGACATTTAATATGAACACCCTCTGAAAATGAAATTGTATTAATTTGATTCTATAACATTCTAAAAGTTTATGAAGGAGGCAAAATGTGAGTGCCACATACCGCGATAACTCATTTGTTCTGTGAAGATGGCTAAACTTGATAAAAAGCTTCAAATGAAGATTGTTGATGTATACAAAGAAAGTGATGGATACACAACACTTTCCAAGTGTTTAAATGTTCCTAACTTGACAATTCGTAACCTTATCAAGAAGTATAATGTGACTCATTGTGTTGAGAATAAATTAAGGACTGGCAGAAAGCAGTTAATTTCAGAGAGAATGGGAAGAAAAATTGTTAAAGATGTCTTGAAGAATCCTCACTTGATGACAAAGGACATTGTCAATGATGTAAAGGCATCAGGGTTGAATATATCGATGAAGACAGTCACTAGATGCTTTCATTGAGCAGGACTTGCCACCCAAGGAAAATTCCCTTGTTTAAGGCTAAAACTTAAAATGCAGCTTAGCTTATGCTAGAAGCCATCTAGAATATGGGAGTAAATATTGGAAATCTGTTTTATGATCAGATGAAACCAAAGTTGAATTATTTGGTCACATGAACTCTCATTATGTAAGGAGGAAAGTGAATGAAGCTCACACACTTAAAAATTACCCTCCCTTCAATTAAGCACAGTAGTGGGAGTATTCTGCTCTGGGGATGTTTTACTGCTTTTGGAAGAGGAGAACTAGTGAGAGTACAGGGTATCTCTATCTATAAAAGACAGGATGTGTGTGTGTGTAACGAATGCATGGCCACAATTTTTGATGGATTTGCACCAAAATTTACATGCACATGCTTCAAGTTATCAGGAAGGCCAAGACGGACTTTGCATTTCCCAACTCCCATCGATAGTGGAAATAATCAATTTTTTCATGTTTCTACGGTTGTTTTCATGTAGTTTGTGGCCATTTTCTACTGGCCAGAGTGAGAGCCTATAGCTGGCTGCCACGAATAGGCAGTAAGATTCTACTGGCCAACATGAGAGCCAACAGCTGACTGACACGAATGTTAACTAGCATGCAAAAAAAATTGATAGCTGCATTTGTCACAATTGCGAAAAATTTAAATCTGCATGGGACTATACTCCAATTGGCTCATTCGCTTGCTTAAACTCAACATTGATTCTGATTCTGCAGAACTGGGTTGGGTGTGAAAAATATTTGTTGTTAACATTCTTTTTTCATTCGGTTTTTCCAGTTACGTGTCCTTTTTTTAAAGCTGATCATTTTGTGTTCATTTTGTTTAGCTCTTTTTTCGTAACAGATTTAATGTTTAGTATAGAGCTTAGAAAAAAGTCATAGTGTGAGATAGGCAAGAAGTAAGGCATGTAGCAACATCAGCACGGCAAAGGGCACTCTTTTAAAGACAAGGAAGGGCAAAAATGTTTTAAGTTCAATGATAGTGATTGCTGTATGAGTCGTACGATTTTTGAATCAAGCACGGGCAACACCAGGTCATGCTGCTAGTCATGGATAAAGAGGAGTATTTGGCTATTCTTAAAAATAATATAAAACAAAGTGCATGAAATCTGTATGTGGGATGTTACTGTATGTTCCAACATGACAATGATCTGAAACACATGTCACGAATTGTTCCAAATACTTAGAGGACAACAAAATTAAGGTATTGGTGTACCTGAACAGAGTCCTGACCTGAATTCTATTGAAAATTTATGGACATATTTGAAGAAAAAAATAAGAGAAAGTCCTTTAAATTTGGAGGAACTAGAAAATATTGTCAAAGAAAAGCAAAATACAAAAATGATTAAAGGCCGTAATCAAGAATAAAGCTTATACAATTGATTATTGAGGAAAGTGAGCCAATAATTTTGTCTTATGTTAATTTTTTTTTTTATAATTGTATGACAATAAAATAAAAATTTTGTTGTGGACATCACTGCACATTCTTTTAAATTCATTATTTCATCATCTATAAAAAAATACACATGAAGTTTCCATGAAAAATTGAGGTACTACAGCCTTATTTGTAATTATGGACGTGGGGGTGAATAATTCTGTCTACAACTGTATATTGTGATTTAGTTTCTTTCTTTTTTTTTGAGTCACACCAAAAATATCAAGGAAAATAAGGAAAACAGCATCAGCCTACAACAATAAATCCCAAAACTGTAAACTTTGGAGAAGAAAATAGCTATAATCACCTTCCTAGATCAACACAAACTACAAAATAAATGATCAGAACTGATCTCAAAATGCTGACAAGAAAACAAAATTTTACTACGTTACATAAAAATCGAAAACTAAAAATGAAGAATAAACAAATAAAAAATAAAATAAAGAAAGAAAAATAAGTAAAATAAATTAGTCCAAACTAATAAATAAATAAACTAAGTAAATATTAAACAAATTAACAAACCATGAATACACAAAAACAC